TGTAGCCCAGGCTGGCCTCGACCTCTCAGTACTCCTTCTGGCTCAGTCTCCTGAGTGCTAAGATCATAGGCAGGTGCTACCATTCCTGACCTTCCTATCAGGTTAAGTGAAACAGGGATGGAACCTAGGGTCTCACACAGGCTAGGCTCTACTAAGGAACATCTCCAGGATTACACACACATTTTGATTTACAGTTACTGAGAAACTTCATTGATTAACTTGGTAAGTTTTTACATAAAATAAATTTAATTTTTCTTTCAAATTGTTATTGTGACACACAAGCTTAAATATTGCACAATTTCTCTTCTATGAGAAACCTGATGCATAAATGAAGAGCAGGATAAAAATGTAGATGATAGAAAACAGATCTTTTGTAAATGGGAAGGGACTAAGAGATGGAGGGAGGGAACAAGGGAGGGGAGGAAGGGAGAAGTAAAAAGAGCTAAGATGTGTTATGTGCATGTTCCATCTTCCCAAATTGAATGTAATCATTATGTACTGCAAACGTGTACAGTAGTAATAAAAATAACAATTTGAAAGAAAAATAAAATTTATGTAAAAAATTACCAAGTTAGCTTAATCAACGAAGTTTTTCAATAACTGTCAGTCAAAATGTGTGTGTAGTCCTGGAGATGTTCCTTAGTAGAGCTTAGCCTGTGTGAGACCCTAGGTTCCATCCTTAGCACTACACATGCAAAAAAAGACGAGGTCTGGGCATGGTGGTGCACACCTTTAATTCCAGTACTTAGGAGGCTGAGGCAGGAGGATTGCTGTGATTTTGAGACGAGCGTGGGCTACCTAGTGAGTTCAAGGTCAGCCTGAATTGCATAGCAAGACCTTTTCTCAAAAAAAAAGAAGGAATGAAGAAAAAAGAAAAAGTTGAGCACTATAGCATGTACCTGCTACTCAGGATGCTAGGTAGAAGAATCATTGAGCCCAGGAGTGGGCTGACACCAGGTTGGGGAGCATAGCAAGAACTCATCTAAAAAGTAAAGTAAAGGGGAAAAAAGTGTGTGTGTTTGTTTTTTTTAACAAAAGATGCCCGTGTGTTACAAAAAAATTAAATGGAATGGCATGAAGTGAGTTATATTCTTCAGTCTTTAACTTGATGTGTTGCTTCATAGATACTCTTTGTGTCTTTAATCAAGCATATATTTCTCTCACATTTTTTCGACAAAAAAATAATACATTCTACATCTGCAACTTTTTCCTTTCACTTAATGCTACAACTTAGATATTATTTAATTATGACACACAGAAATCTCCTCTGCTGTTTCCTCAGGTGCACTAGCCATATTTCAAGTTCTCAGTAGTCACATATGGTTAGTGGTTACTGTATATCTTTCTGTAAATGTTCAGTACATTGATTACCAAAGTATACAATATCTTATATAATAATCGCAGGTATGGAAGATTGTTTCTACATTATAAGAGCTATAAATAAATGTACAAAAACATTTGTTAGGGCAGTGGAAGTACTGGAAGTACAGATCTTTTCCCCCTCGGTAATTACATTTGACATGAATAACAACAACAGTGACGAATAAATGTGCTTCATTGGAACAGACTGTTACAGAAGTGAACATCTTAGAATGGAGATGTGAGTTCAGCGTAGGCAGTATGAGTCTAAAGCATTTTTCTTCCCTAGATGAAGCAGATGATGATGATGATCCAGAATATAATTTCCTGGAAGATCTTGATGAACCTGACACAGAGGATTTCCGTACTGACCGGGCGGTGAGGATCACCAGTGAGTCTGTGTTACTATGAGTCCTACTGTCATCTGCTTCATGTTTAGCTTTGTGTGCTCTGTAGGTTTGCAGGGAGATGTTCACAGCTCATCCAAGTTAAGACATTTAAGTTTCCTCTGTTTGTTCATTTCTGTAATCCTTTAAATAGTTGCATATTCAGAAAGGAAGATGTCAGTTATTTCCTTCTCCACCCTGTAGTCATGATGCAAATTTTCAGAATTTGGTAAGGCTTTGCAGTACCAGGATGAAGTAGAACATGGGCTCTGCCCTGTGGGGGTCAGTTTAGCAGAAGGAGTTGTAATACAGAGTGATAGAGGAGATTGCCTTTGTTGCGGCAAAGACGCTTATTTAATTGAGTCACCCAGGGAGGCCGGA